ATTGAAATGGCATGCATTTACTGAAGTTACCCTGTCAACTCTGACATAATCACCCGAGTTGAAGTTTGTGTCACTTATTTCGAGACATTGTTGCAAGTAGGATGGTTTCTATAAATATATTTTTAGTATTTAATTACTTAGAAACAAGTACAATTTATTACCATGGATTGACATTATTATAAATTCATTATTCATGACCTGAAGCGAAATACAAACTTAAGTTTATGTTATCTCGAGATTACATATAAATGCAAATCGAAGCATGTTGATTACTTCGGAAACTTTCATGAAGTAGATCTACGTCTTGAGAATATAACTTTCCATGAAACTTAAAAAAATGAATTATATAATTTATTATCTTTGCTTGTGGTTTATTTGATCAACATTTACATTGAAGGAATAGTAAAATCACATTTTAATGAGATAGTAAGTCTACTTGTAGTGATGAAATTTAATATACATATTTGAATTAAATCAAAGCATAAAATCATAGTTCTTTAAATTCAAAATATTGCCTTAAGGACACTTGAGGATACCTAATCTTTTAGAAAATTACATGATTTTTGTATTGGTGTATGTTATTGGTGATAATTGTAAATGACAATTATTTTAGATATCACTATGTGAGATTTATTTTGGAAAGTAACATTTTGACTTGTATGTTATTAATAAACTAGAATGAGAAATTTATTCCTCTAGTTCCTCAGAACCATTATATTTAGTATCCAAATTATTACACATGCCAGTAAATTTGACATGCGGCATGTCAGTTTCGTTTCAAAACTGATTTTCATGTCTACCCGATATCAAAATATATTGTATTTGACTTGATATTTGTTTTTGCGTAATGCCTGATGCCATGATTTACCCTGTGAAAACTAAGCATTTGATCATCATGCAAATATTGACATCGAAAACGAAATATTCGCAAAGGTGTCTGTATCAGAGGCGTGATATAAAACAATTCAGAATATGATATTTCGCACAACGGAATTTGATGGCATTTATTGATTTTAATAACATTGAAAAACAGTATTCATCTTTGACATAAATAAGAAGTAATGGTTTATTTTTATTATAAACCTCCCGTAGAGTAAGTTGTAGTAATCGTAAAAAAATCAAAAATGATTTTTTTTCTCTTGAACATTTTGGTATACCAAAAAATGGAATAGTGTGCAAATGTGTGTATATGTAGTAAGTATGTATGTATGTTCGAATACAATTTTTCGATTTTGGTAGTACTAATCAAGAAACCCTTAATGCTTATTGACAGAGAGGCGTGCTAATCAGTTTTTGGCCAAGGCGGTTCCAGCCCTTTCGGTGATATGGAGCAAATAGCGCAAAAAATGGTTTCAATTCAGTTTTGAAAAGTTGGAGCGTCCGATTCAAATGATTCAACATCATTTTACTATATTGAATGAATAAAATATTGATTAAAAGCCATTTTAAATACACTAAGAAAAAAAAATCAATAATGATCATTTTGGAAAGTTTTTTACCAAGTTTAACGCCCCGAATAAATTTACAACAAATTTGGCTTAATTAACAATCATAAAATTTAAGAACAGGGGCCCGGTATCAAAAATTTTTGAAGGCTCCCTTAAGAAAAGTAAAGATTTTTACAAAATATAAAGAATAATAATAAAAGTAGGGTAATATTTATTTATCATCATCTATCAAAGAATTTTCTGATACAATCGGAAAATATATATTCACTCTACTTGCCTTTTTTAAGCAAGACAAAAATTTAAAGTTGATAAATGATGAGATATTTTTGTACATAAACTATTAAGCCATTAATCCATTGACTCATTATAATATAAGTTATAAAATATCAAATAATAGATAAGCTTATCTGACAATAGAACTACGAATCATGCAGTTTGTTCAATTTTGTTTAAAAATATAAAGTCAACTTTAATACTTTTTAGGGTAAGTATAGTGATCGCAAAAATATCGAAAATGAAATTTTTTACATATTTTTACGTTTCAGTGCCTTCTGAACATTTTGGCATACTTTAGAAAAAATGAATGTATGTGTGTGTGTTTGTGTGTAGGTGTATATGTGTATATATGTGTGTATGCTTGTATACAATTTTTTGTTCACGATTTTGAGGGTACGGATCATCAGATTTGAATGATTCGAAAAACATTTACGTCATGTCTAATCGTTTCGGAGATACAGGGCAAAAAGCAACAAGAATGGTAATTTTGAGAGAACGGAGCGATCGATTTAAATGATTAAAAAAATATTCGATTTGTAATGATGGGGAGATGTGCTGATTTTGTCAATGGCAGGTCCAGCCGTTTCTGCGATACCTGGTAAAAAGTAACAAGCAAGACAATTTTGTGAGAACAAAGCGCGCAATTTGAATCATTTAAAAAACATTTTATTCATGTTTGGGGGCGTCCATTAATCACGTAAGAGAGTTTTTAAGGATTTTTGGACCCCCTCTCGCGCTTGATGATACATGGTAATATTCAAAATTACCCCCGCTCTCCAAGCATTACGTGTATTTTAGTTACGCGATAAAACTGTAAATTTTTTTAATCTTTTTTGAAAATGTTTGATTTTTTTTCAAAATGTCAATTAAAAAGTAAATACACGTGATATCTTACTATACCCCTCCCTCCCCCACGTGATATTTCGTGATTTTTTGTCAAACCCCGCTTCCCCCCTAAAAACCTCACGTGATTAATGGACGCTCCCTTCGATGGGGAGACGTGCTGATGCCTTTTTGGCAAAGACAGGTCCAATCGTTTCGAAGATACGGGGTAAAAAGTAACAAGCTTGGAAATTTTGTGGGAACGGAGCGTTCGATTTGAATGATTCAAAAAACATTTGATTCATATTGATGGGGAAACGTGTTGATTAGATTTTGACAAAGATAAGAACGAAGCGTCCGATTTTAATGATTTAAAAAACATATCGCTAGATTGTTACTATCATATTGATATAATAGAGGATTGGTTAAATTTTTGGGAAGGCAAGTCTAGCGGTATTCGAGATCCAGTGAAAAAAAAGAAAAATTGCTATTTGTCGACTAAAATTGATCATAAGACATACGCACATCAAATTACCAGATATATTTTAAAGATTTTATTAATATTTACAAATTTTGTTTACATTTCTATGGGCTCCGTACCAAAATTCGTAATGTTTGACAGTTAGAAAGCGACTCGGCGTTACATGCTCTGATATTTCATTTCCCAATCAGCTGCGCAGCACGAATAATTGAAAAAAATATTAAAAAAAATTAAAAAAATCTTAAGCATTTAAAAATTTTAAATTCCGGTACGAGAAGTTCCAGCAATTTGGCTTAAGGCACGATGCCATACACTACGAGTTAAATATATATTCTACTCAGTAATTTTACTAATGATACCTACCTCCCGTTCCTTAATTCGTCTGTCCTGTCGCACAACGTAGTCATCCTTAATCCTGACTTGCAGCTTTTGCATATAATTCCTGTCCGTCACGCGGACCAAATTGGAGCCCATAAGACGATCCAACCTGGCGCGAACTTTGACAGTCGAAAATCTGAAAAAGATATTACGATTTGTAAGAATCCTCTCTATTTCAGTATAAGATTTTTTGTTTCTTACATTACAAATATAAAAAAGATATCAGTACCAATATTAAAATTGTAAACGACTGTTTTCAATATGTTCAATATTTGTATCTACATATTTGGTTCTTTATTTGTAAGAATAATTAAGTAAAATCATATATAAACATATGTGTCAGAATGTTTTTGTTGCGAACGCTGCTTAAAATCATAGAAAAAAGATATATATGGTTTGCTGGTTGCTAATAATAGTTTAACTTTATTTTTTATAATATATATATAGATAGAGAGAGAGAAAAATCGAATTTTTGATAGAATGGAGCATTTGATTTGAATGGCCAAAAAACATTCAATTCGTGATGACAAGGAAAAGTAGTGATTGGTTTTTGGCAAAGGCAGGTCCGACCGTTTCGGAGATACCGAACTAAATCTGCAAAATATTACAGTTTTTGAAAGAACTAAGCATCCGATTTGAATGATTTAAAAAGCTTTCTGCATGTGTTAACAAAACGATTTTTTTTAAGAAAAGATTTTTTTTTTTAAATTTTTAAAGAATATTTTTTTGTATATCGTAAATAATTCGGATTTTATTATTAATACTAGCTAATGTTCTTTAATAAAATATCTTCATATACTTTGAATAAATAATTTTAACCTTTGCGATTCAATTTATATAATTTTTATAAATATAAGACAATGTACTTAATTTTAAATTTGATTGATTGAGTTGTGTTTATTAACTTTTCTGTAAACATATTTAAGCTACTGTTTTTATAATAATCTATTTGAAAACATTTACTATTCCTCGAATTTTTTATTACGGTACGGAAAGTTCCAGCAATTTGGCTTAAGGCACGATACCACACACCATTAGTTAATTTTTTTTTTGATAGCAACAAATTCAATATAAAATAATGCATAAATGTTCATGTGTACGAGCTCTGGTAATAAGTGATAGGATTTTAAGTATTTGTGTATCATGTTTTTGAAATAAGTGTATATTTATAATTAAATAAAAGTAAGTACACTATACAACTTATTTAAAACTTATTTTAAATTATCAGTTTTAATCTAGAAGCAACTTATTTGATTTATCTGCAAGTTTAAACCACGAATATTATTGTTCATAAAAATTGTTACATTGAAATAATATGTGAAAATATTTTGAAAGTTATTTATTTGATAAAATATATAATTATTAACCAATATAATATGAGACATTGAAGTAATTTCTAATTCAGGTCTACAAATGTTAAATTATTTTCAGTCTGTATAGTACTAGTTTTGTAATGTGAATTTGAGGTAGTGCAATCATTACTACTGTCTAATGCCTAGTGCTTAATTCTGATACAAGAACAAGTTAAAATTACCTGAGTTAGATTAAAACAGTTCTTATCAAGAAGTCTATAAATTTAATTTCATAGTACTCACTAATTCTTCAATGAAAACAACGTGATTTCGAATGAAAACCACCAATAAAACTGCATAGTATCTGGTACAAACGACGCGTGAATGCCGAATAACACGAACAAATCTCCGAAAAACATTATAAACGTATTTAGACATAGAGCAGGTAAAATTTTCTACATTTGTAATATACATAGAAAATGGTACTCACATTTGAAAATTTGTAAATAAAATCCATTATATGGTAAACACCAAATGAAACAAAGGATTTTCTAGCCTAATTTACTCACCGACGCAGCAAATAGCAAAAATTCGTCTTCATTGTTTATAATACTTATTTAAAATATATCTATAAAAATTTAGTAAAATATTATGATAAATATTTATTGTTTGCACGCTTTATTAACTTCTCGTAGGGTAAGTTAAAGTAATCGCAAAGAAATCGAAAATGAAAATTTTTATATATCTTTACGTTTCATAGGTTTCTGAATATTTTGGCATACCTTAGAAAAATTGAAAATCAATCAACCGATTTGAATAATTCAAAAAGCATTTAATTTGTATTGATAAGGAGATGTGCTGATTAGTTTTTGGCCAAGGCAGGCCTAGCCGTTCCAAAGACGGAGCAAAAAGTACCGAAAATGGTAACTCATTTTTTAAGAGAACGAAGCGTCCGATTTTAATAATTTGAAAAACATTTTACTTGTATTGACAAGATGAAGAATTGATCAAATTTTCATAAAGGCAGGTCTAGCGGTTTCGGGGATCCAATAAAAAAAGTAAAAAACAATGCCATTTGGCGGTCAAAAATGATCATTAGACATATGCACATCAAATTATCAGATATATTATAGAGATTTTAACAATAGGTATAGTTTTTTTACATTTCTATGGGTTCCGTACCAATGCTTATCCGTTAGACGGCGGCGCGGCACTTTCGCGCTTTTACATTTCGTCTATATATATAAAATGTATATATATATATAAAAAATATTGTACACAGAATGAAAAGTGTGCGAAATTAAAAAGCAATGAGCAACTCTACTTTTTTTTGAATGACAGACTGTACATCTGCTTTTAAAAATTCAAATTACCCTACATATCATGTTATTGTTTTTTACTATTTTTATTACTTAAACCTTAAGTTTTGCAAGTTTTGAAGCATTAAGTTCAAATATAGAGTAATAACACCTAGGGTGATTTGAGACCTCACGTTAAAATAAAAACCAATATATTTAATTATCTAATTATATAATTTTAGCACTTGTCATTTTAGTAAACAAGTCAAGATCAAATTTCTGATCAAATTGTTAGGTTTAGAAACAAACTATTGTTGCCAAATGCGCTTCAATAGTATTATATTCTTCTGCGTAAGAGGCCATCGATGTTCCTAATAAAATTGTAGGACTTACATTAACTTAAAGGTTTAACAGTTATAATTCTAAGTTTTTTTTAGAATCATGAAAATGTTATTGACCAGCTTTTCGTCTAAATCTAAACAAATAATTTCGGGAGGGGCAGGCAGGCGTTCTTCTGACACGAAGCTACCAAAACTTTGACAACTCATATCGCAAAAAGCACGCGAACACATCGGCGCCAAATAAATTTGAATTCATCCTATGTATATGTAAAAAAGATACGATTTTTTTTTTCATATTTTATTCACTTTGAATTAATATAGAACGCTATATTAATATAAATATTACTTTGTCTGTATGTCTTATCTTAAGGACATAATAAAATGTTACGTACAATATGCTGTTCCTTTTATAAGTTTACTTTTTTGTTTAAAATATATATAAAAAGTCACTACAGTTTACTACAATTTATTCTTCTTAAGCAATTTTACATGTCTTACTGGTAAAATTTTTGTCCTTGAAACTATAGGGTTCCAGATTCGATATCCATCCCAGCCTGCCTGATATTATATTTTTATATAGTTTTTGCTTAAAAATATATCCAAATATACTTCTAAGCAAAAATATTGTTTGGAATTACAAATACTCTAATAATAAAAATGTTCCAAATATTCCAAATATTGATAGGGCAAGATTCTCTTCTTCAATGCGAAGTTGTTAATGAGAAAATTTACCACAAAATATCATGAAATTAAATTCTCAGTTAGTTATAAATAATCAATTGAGTAAAGAACGATAATAAATATTATATTTTGTATTAGTATGTTCACCGTACTGAAATTTTAACTATATATAATAACATTTAACTATATACATATAATAAATTTTTGCGAAGTTGTTAAGAAGAAAAATTACCATGAAAGCCCATACCACTATGTGCTGATTGCTATTTAAAAAATTAAACTATCAATAATATTATATTTTGTTAGACTTTATAGAGTACCTTGACGCCAAGTTCTTTGCTTTCAAAAATATCTCTCATAAAATCATAAATAATTAGGAGCAAAGAACGCTAAGAAATCTAATATTTATATCCTTTATCATCCTGAAATTTTTACAATATACAATACTTCTGCCGGAAAAAATTCTATATATATTAATTTAAACTATTTAAGAAGACTCTGGTATTAAAGAATTTAAAAATTCTCAATATTAGAGTATGTCTATAATTTCAGAAACCTTGTTAGAAAATAAATAAAATTAGTTTATCACGTATGTGAAAATCATGAATAAAATGCAATGTATTTTATTTACACAATTTACTAAATATTTTTGTTAATTACTAATATTCACAACGGTGAATTGACACGCGATTGAAGTAAAACTTATTTGCTCCTGTACAAGATAGCATTTAAGTAAAATTGAAATTAAAAGATTTCCTTGTCGACAGCGGTACGTATACAACGTTGATGCCGGTACGCATACAACGACAGATCTCTATTCATATACACGACGCCTAATCACAATCGACCCGTATAGAAATGATATCGACGAGAGCGAATGACGAATCATTGGCACTCGACTCTTATCTTATCTTATCTGCAGTAACGCACTTCCGTTGCATTTGTACAGATTTGCACCCTAGTCGCGCCTAAAGAAGTTTTACTTCAAAACAATAAGCAGCTGTTTTGTGTGAAATATTGTTTGGTTCATCCAAAAAGCTCATATAAGATTCAAATATTGCGCCACAGTTCACCCCCCATCTGGCCACGATTTATTTCTAGTGAGAAGTTGACAATAACTGAATCTTAACGATATAAATAAAAAATAATATTTATTATTATTAATCATTTATGTTTAAAATATTTAATGGTCAAGAATAAATAACTAAAGCTTGTTTTCTATAATCAAAAATTACAAAAAATCAACCTAATTGTACTAATTGTATCTACATATAACAAATAAGAATTAAAATATCACCTTTTTACTTCTTTCATTCTTCTCTCGAACTTTCCTACTTGAATTTCAGTCAATTACAGTTAGTATATCACATAAAATTTATTATTATGATAGAAATAAATTTATTTTAAGTACGCAATTTACCAAACAAGAGCACACGTTAAAACCTACCGTACCCCACATATGCGTGGGTCGGAACTAAACCGATTTAAAAATATTACAAGACGCAATAGATACACATCAAGAAACGATTTCCATTTTCTTTTGCTCATTTCAATTGCCCTTGTATCAGAAAATATATTTGGATATCCGATAAATATCCTACTTTTTTGATACTTGTCGAACTACGCGCAACGTTGAATTCAATATGCAATATCTGTGTCACATTTGATTTCGAATTGTATTAGATGCAAAAGAGCAATAGAAAAATTCAGTTGGAACATTATTGACGTAGGTCAAGGGTTATACATAAAATTTTATGATTTGATTATGGTAGTCGTTCTTTAGAGCAGAAGTTCTCAAGTTGTCGACGGTAATAGTACAATACCAAGAATTGATCGAAATTCTAATAAATTTACTAAGATTCTTATACAGAGATATAAGTTTTCCAAAAATAATGAAAAATGAAAATGATACTATTTAGGTAATCTAGATGCTATAAAAAATCCGAAATATTGGTCTTAACTTAAATTAAATTTCCTAACTTAAATTGAAAATATTATATAAAATTTGTCTACATATTAATGAAAGGTGAAAACGACAAATAATTTAATATATTTTATTTAATTAACTTCGCGTAGGGCAAGTTATAGTAACCGCAAAAAAATCGAAAATGAAAATTTTTATATATATCTTTACGTTTCAAAGGTTCCTGAATATTTTGGCATAGCTTAGAAAAAATGGATGTAAGTGTGTGTGTATATATGTGTGTGTGTGCGTGTATAAGTGTGTGTGCGGATACAAACTTTCGTCGACGATTTCGGGAACACGGATGAAGCGATTTGAATAATTCAAAAAACATTCGATTTGTATTGATAAGGAGACGTGCTGATTAGTTTTTGGCGAAGGTAGGTCTAGCCGTTCCAAAGATATGGGGCAAAAAGTGCCAAAAACAGTAACTCAGATTTTAAGAGAACGGAGCGTCTGATTGGAATAATTCAAAAAACATTTTACTTGTATGAACAAGATGCACAACTGATCATTTCATTTTCATAAAGGCAAGTCTAGCGGTTTTGGAGATCTAGTAAAAAAAGTTAAAAAAAATGCCGTTAGGGCTCAAAAATTATCATTAGACATATGCTCATCAAATTATCAGATATTTTATAGAGATTTTAACAATAACTATACACTTTGTTTACATTTCTATGGGTTCCGTACCAATGCTTATCCGGTAGACGGCGATGCGGCGCTTACGCGCTTTGATATTTCGTTTCTATGCAGTTAAAGCTATACGATTGCTTTGAAAAAAAGTTCAGAATTCCCACAATATTTTAAAATTAATTTCTCTACAAAAAGTCCTTTTTTTTTCAAAAAAAAGTAAATTTTTGTCAAAAATTTATAGTTTCTCAAAAATCAAATTTTTTCAAAGTAAATTTTTTTCAAAAATGTTAATCTTTTTAAAAAAAAATAATTTTTGGTACGGAAAGTTCCAGCAATTTGCCTTAAGGCACGATGCTATGCGCCCCACTATTTTAACTATTTATTGATAGCCCATCCGTAATCAATAATAATAATAATAAGTGTAAAAACTAATAATAATAATAATGCAAAAACTCAATAAATTATAAGAAACTTGTGGTG